TCTTTTCTTCTCTTCTCTTTTCTTCTCTTCTCTTTTCTTCTCTTCTCTTCTCACCTCTCACTCTTCTCTTCTATATCTGTTCTTTTCTGTTGTGTTGTGTTCTTTTCTGTTTTGTAAGATGGGCACTTGCTCATGTCCCATGCAATTCATCAACATATGCTACAATTAAATACGATCAAAATGCGCTCTCCATTATTCCCATTTATTTATGTTCTTGAGGGTTCTGTTTTGCTCTGAGTGTACTTGTCTATTGTGTTCTTGTCCTTTCCTCTCCTTTCCTCTCCTCTCCTCTTTTTAGTCTTCTCTTCTCTGTTGTCCTCTCTATTGACCAGCGAGTTGACCTCCAGAACGAACTCAAGGTCAATCAATCATAATTGAGGATTCCACATATTTTGATTAGCATTTCTTATTATTCTGCCAAGAGAACTCATGAAATACGAATTCTTTATACTTTAAATTGATCGTAAATAGTAGTCACCCAAGGCGGAATCCCATTTCAATCGACTTGACAAAAATATCCTATACATCCTATACATTGTACTGAGTTCCTGCTTGGAAAATGCTAACCAAAAATGTATGGCCCAAAACTTCGTTTTGGGAACGCAGTCAACTAGGCTCGAAGTTTAACTGATTTAACTTTATTCACAGACTAGGCCAAGAAAAGTCAAGTTGTTTGAGCGTAAGTCGATAACCGTGTACGTCAGAGTCTTGATGGAGCCAGGGTAATAACTTCCTTTCCTATCTTCCTGTTTATTGTTATAATGTAATAAAGGTACTTCTGATATAAGACGAATGAAGTTAAATTTTAATGCATTCTTTATTCTTTCATTCTTGTTCCGTTACGTCAAGAGATGTTATTGTTTAGGCTAGGATTTACGAGTTTCAGATTTGACAATGTTTTCAAATTTTTTTTTTTTTTTTTCTTTCGATGTTTTTTTTAAATGTTTTTTTTTAAAAATGGTAATTTTTTCAGCTGGTAATTTATTTGCAAAAGAAACGAAAAGAAAGAAAAGAAAGAAAGAAAAGAAAGAAAAGAAAGAAAGAAAAGAAAATTAAACGAACCTAAGGCGACCAACACAACTCACAGTTAAAAATCCTGCATCATTGTTGGCTATTGTCTATCTGAGTAAACGAGTCTGTAATCAAGAAATACAGCGGTATTTTACAGGCGCGTATGGAGGTTTCGGTCATAGAGAGGGGGGTTACCGCAATGTACCATTTTCCCGCCAAGACGCGCGCACGCGTTTTCGACTTTAGAATTTCCCGCCATATCTTCACTCAGTAAAACTTTTTGGGAAGGCGAACGGCTTATCCCCCTCCACTCCCCCTCGCTAAGCTTCTACTGATATTGTATACATTCAAAAGAAACGTAGTATAAGGAAAAAAAAGCATTCAAAAATCTAGCTCCAGTTTTATGAAATCCTAGCTCAGGCATATTCGGAAATAGAAGCAATGGAAATGTCACATCATAACCAGTATTTAGCTAGAGGTTCTTTTTCAATATATGTTTCTTACATTTTTCCAGGCTTTTTTTTCATTTCCCTAATCATAGATATTAATTATAAGTTCATATCGATATCGATGAAACACGAGCATTTTCAAGTGCTGCACTTTCCGCAATTTTATCTCGTTTTCCAATTATAACATTTTCCGCTTATAAACTAACTATAAACCAGATCATAATCTCTTAAAAGTCTTCACTTTTAATTTAATTTTAGAAATTGTCCATAGAGCTAAGAGAGAAAAAGGTTAATTTGTAATTTATCCGTGGGCAAAGTTTTACTGAATAAATAATGATAGCTATCTTAATTTCCGTAGTAAAGAGTGAAAAATTAGGCGGCTTCTCGTAATACACTTAGCAGTGAGTAAAAAGCTTTTAAGGGAAAGTTGTATTTAACATTTGCTTTGGTAAAAAGTTGCGCAATTGAAGTTGTTTGGAAGTCGCGACGAGGAGATGGAATTAAGCGGTAGACGGACCGACGGACGAACGGACGAACGGACGGACGGGCGGACGGACGGACGGACGGACGGACGGACGGACGGACGGACGGACGGACGGACGGACGGACGGACGGACGAACGGACAGACGGACCAATTAAACAAGCACGAAACAAACAAAGAAACAGAGATAAAGAAAGGAAGACGAAAAGAAAGAGAAAACAGAAAGACAGAAAGAAGAATGTAAGTAAGTAAGTGAGAAAACGAAGAAAAAAGAAAACATCCTTCATGGTCTCTTCTCTTCATCCCTTCTCTCTCAGTATAAACCGCGCCATCATCTGATACCTAATTTTGATCACCAAACTAAGTGGTCTCATTAAAGTTTTAAAAAAACGAGCTCTCATTCTATAATAGGATTTGTTTAAGTGCATGTCTCTTCAAGCGGCGACACCGCCAATAAAACCTGGTTAAAATACTAGGTGGTTCTATGCTTGCTGAATAAAAGCTCTCCTTGGTAATGTAAAATTGGAGTACGTACTTACAATATAAAGCAAGAATCGATGGATGGACAAACGCAAAGCATACCATTTTTTATCGGCTCTTGTTACGAACACTGAGGGAAAAAAATGGTTAAGTTTTTTAAGTTTTTTTGCATGATGACGTCGCACATGAGAGCATCAGTCCAGTGGGAGTGCGTTAAGGATAGGAGGGGTGGGGTCTCCTCTGTATAGAAGAGTAGGGATGCTCCTAAGAAATGTTGACCCTTGAGGATGTCCGAGTCTTGCACTAGTTATTATCTAACACCTAAAAGGAACCAGTTATCTATTGAACCGAAAATGAATAACCTGAATTATAACTGCCCTTCTGACTTTCAACATATAATCCTAGAGAACTATTCACACACAAAAAAAAAACCCCACTTACTCTCTGGTAGTCCTTTTAGATTTGTAACACTCTAATGGRTACCAAATTGCAAATCTGGAACCCTGAAAGTACAAAGCTAAGAGCATCCCCGCCCATTTTCAATCAGAGTACTCTCTTTTTTCCCTAGTGTGTCTGTCACATGATATGCTTACGTCGAATATGAACCAAATATTTATGCTATGAACATTAGCGTTGAGAATAACGAATAAATATCATTGCTAACTTTCAATTTTTTTGGATTACTTTAGTTTTATATAGTTATATTCTTACTTTTACGCGCGGAAAAGTTATGCAGCTCCAGTCATCGCGAAAAAATATAAAACAAAAAATAAAATAAAACGAAAAGAAATAAAATACCCCGGAAATGGAACAGCATCAAGACGATACATTGATAAAGGAACTGATTATCAAATAATTTGACATGGATAGTACTTTTAAATTCATCTCTTTTATCACGCGCGTTATCAAACATATAATGTTTACAATATTTTCATGCCTCCGGCAACACAAAAATATTTCCTCATAAATACAACCTTTTTTTTCTTGAGAAAAAATTGCTTTTACCGTCCTTTTAATTGACATTTCTTAATGTGAGAGGCAAAATCTTCCTCATTAAGCCACGCATCCTCCAGAGATTTTTGTTTAAGCGTGAGATAAAACACGATGTCTATAATCTAATTCAGTTCACAATAACAAATTGAAGATTATTATTGACAGCTACATTTTTAATATTTTGATAACATTTTAGATTTTAACGTAGAAATCAAGCAAAACACCCTGAAGGCTTTTGAAAGTGGACTATAATTCAACCCCTATCGCCTCATTTCTTACTTCCTTGATTTTTCATATCATAAAATTCCTGGTACTTATCAAAAGAACAGGTGTTTGATTGAACAAAGTCGCCGAAAATGGTCATAAAATATTATATTGAAAATTGAAAGGTGTACTAGCTTTTTATTGTTTTTATGCAGTTTTTCTTGAATTTTCCACTACACATCGATCTCGAGTTTCCTGTTACACTTCAAAGCCAAAATACTCTTTCTATGAAGCTCTCTATATCCGCTAGTCGACAACAGACTAATTTATGAACAACTGAATTTATACAGCGTTTTGAGAATTCCAGTTCAAGCAACCTCAATTGTAACGAAGGAACTTGTTCAACCTGGGTGTAAGTGATAGGAAAAAAAGCTGGCCGAATGAGAAGTTAGCGTTTTGAAGATGGACTCAAACATATCGACGAAGAATGGTTCTTCAATAACAACGATTTCGTATTCCAAGGAGTTAATTTTTTACGAGGTTGTTGCATTTTTGATTTTTGCTGGAAATCTACTAGTGTGTGTTCTTTTTGCAAGAAAAAAAGTTCTCCTACGAAAAACGTACAACATTTACTTCCTGATTCTTTCAATCACAGATCTTTTAATATCATTCGCTTTAGCGATGACTCCTTTGTTTATATTAAGTGATATTTTGCCGTTTTCTCTGCACGTTCGCTCTGCTGGAAGTATATGTCGCGTCCTGTGGTCTAGATGGCTGTTATATACCTTGGGGATATTCTCCATCTACATATGCCTTCTTTTAACCATTGAGCGCTGGTTTGCTGTGGTTAAGCCTTTGAGCTATCAGGGAAATTTCAACAAGAAGAAAGTAACTTTTTCTCTTGTATGTGCAGCATCGTTGGCTTTGATGTTTACATCAAGTACTATTATTGAAACAACGTATAGTCAAGACAACATTGGTGCAATTCGGTGCCGTCGTAGGCCTATTTCAGAGCTTTATAATCGCGCTTGGGGGCTTTGTCGCTTCCTTGGCGAATGCTTAATTCCTTCTTTCATCATGTTAGGACTCTTCATTCACGTGATATTGAAAACGCATTGTTCTGTCGCACCAATGTTTGATGTAACAGACCGAAGATTAAGCAATATGGGTCGCACAAGTCAGACACAAAAAGCTGTTATCAAAATGATAGGAACGGCGACATTCTTCATGATTCTATGCTGTCTGCCAAACCAGACCCTCTACCTTCTCTCGAAATTCGGCCACGCAGAGATAGACACACCACTTCATCATTACCTCGAAGTTCTAACGTTCTTTAACTCTTGTATCAACCCGGCTATATACGGGATTACAAGTAAAACGTTCCGTAAGGGATATTGGGAGATATTGCTGCGGTTGTGCCCTCCTAGAATACGTGTTCGCTTGGCTCAGACTAGAGGTGGTCTTGGGGAAAGTTTGGGAAGTGTGGTTTTCCTTGTTCACGCAATCCATCGAAGGAAATCTTACGATTGGAGGTTCGAGGGGATGCGTCCTGCTACAACGACGAATCTAAACCCGAGTGTTTTGTCTGCTACGAACTTGTGAGAGGATTAGATAGCGGCGTCAAGCTCTTTTCCGTTCGCAAACGCCGTAACGGAAAGGGAGCTAAAATATCTATGTTGTTGGATCCTGATACAACCTCTGGGCTGATCTATGTTAGGGCAATGGTAACTCACAGATAGAACCCCGAAACAATCTCTGGTCTGATCTAAGTCAGGGCACGGCTAACTCTCAGATAGAACCCTGAAACAACCTCTGGGCTGATCTAAGTCAGGACACGGCTTACTCACAGATCGAATTGGGATTTAGTGTGTTGGGTTTTGAAAAGGGATGAAAACCGGGAAACTTCCTCTAATCGACGAATCAAGAGAGTAACCGAAGAACATTGTTCAAGTAACTCTACTCACACGTGTGGTGAGTCCAGGGATCGAACCCGAGGCCCCAGAGGTGAAAAGAAAGTGCGCATGCGCTACCACTACCAGTGTGGCGCTAGATATCCAACCCTTATTTCGATTGCACCCCGATCGACTTATGTTATATTTTACGAGGAACGAAAACAGGAATCCTCTTTATATGTGGGTGTCAAATCATTAATTCACAATTACCGTAAATCCTCTATGTAGCCCCCCGGGGGGCTTATTTATTTCGGGCATGTTTGAGGGAGGGCTGGAGAGGGGGGGCTTATTGATTTACTCGAAACGCAGTATGTAATATGATTGTAACTCAGGATTAAACGGAAGCATTACTATTGACCGTCTTACATAATCTGTAGTGATGTACATAGCATTTTTATTATTTGATTCACCTGTGTTAGTTTCTCAAGTATAATTTACGATTATTGTGAATAGCAAAACTAAAACACGGTAACATTAACAAAGCAAGCTAAAAAGAAATGTTCTGAACAACCAAGACTTTAATAAATCACCTTTAATCAGTACACGTGATTCTTTAGTTGTGAAAGGGGGAGGGGGGGCTAAAGAGAGAGGGGGGGCTTAACAAATTTCTTCCTTTAAAAAGGGGGGGCTTATTAGAGAGGGGGGGCTTATTTGAGAGGGGGGGCTAAATAGAGGATTTACGGTAATATCGCTCATAATCAACACCTATACATTTTACCCGAGTTCGACATCTCGAAAAAGATTATTTTGTCTACATTGTCTACATTGTCTAACAATTATTCGCCGAAGGCGAAGTGAATATCGGGGAATATTTACCGAGCCGCGAGTAAGGTGACTAATTGTTTTAGTATTTTCAACACGAGTAAATTAAATAAATAACGGAGAGAGAGAGTTTTTTTTGGTTGTTGTTCAAATTCTATTCATTGTGACCAATGAGTGCGCTTGATTTATTATACCCACTTGTGTAAAAACACTAAATACAGTTTTCCATCAAAGTACGATCTACAGAACCGGGGGCGCTTTCAAATTTTAATGGAATGTTTCGATAACTAACTCTTGTCCATCACGTACACATGAACACTAGCGCAGTTTTCGTCGAGTGGGAAACGATATGGCAAATTCGTATGTTGTTGTTGTTATTATTATTCAGATTATTATTATAATTATACATGCAGTTTCTCATTAATCCCATATAGGTGGCTGTCCAATTATTTTCTTAATTGGACAGGTCTTGTTGATATGGGATTAATTAGGCAGCTATATAATTAATAGGTAATGGAATTTCATGCTCCCCAATCAAGAAATAATTAGACTCGAAAAATTCGCAAAATAACTGAAAAATAAGCAGTTTGTTTTGCAGCTTTTTTAGTCTTTTTTTTTTTTTTGAATTAGTACGATGTCTTTTTATCGAAGTCCTCGACGCGCGATGACATCAGAAAAATACGTCTGCGCATTGCCGGCTTTCATATCGCGAGAAACTGGATACGATTCCTTGGACATTGTAATAATCGACACAAGACCCACATAGTAAGAAAGAGCACATCAATCCATACAAAAGCCCGACGTTTGGTGGTAATTGGGTCAATACTGATCAAGTTAAGCTAGCAATTAAGAAAATCCAAAATTTACTAAGAAATGCCGGTATGATCGTGTTAGAAATCAAGCGTGGCTTTAAGTAAACGGTTACCGATGGGCTTATGGAATAACTGAAGCAACATATGGTTTGATTGTTTCTGTATATTTATAAAAGGAAAAAAAATAGAATTTCCTTGGAATAATGGAATTATGGAATAGACACTCCCAAAGGTGCCATTTTTCTAACATTCAAAACTCATTTACAAAGATAAACAAAATAATTTTTGTTCCAGGCAGACTTATAGAGCCGTTTCGAATTCCAAATTAGCGCTGTGTTTCTTGATTACAGACTCATTTGCTCAGGTTAGCCTCGAGTTTGTGCAGAATATTCACGTGTTCCAGTCAAGGTCCGTCGAGTTTCAAAGTGTTTGTATTGTTGAAGTTATGCATTCTTTACTTTACCGTTGGTGTTTCTGAATATTTAAACACTGATACGAGGCTAACCCTGTGCAAATGAGTCTGTAATCAAGGAACACAGCGGTAATTTGGAATTCGAAACTGGTCTACTTGTAAAACCAGGTCTGCACAGGCAGCCCAAACAATGATATTTTTATCACAGTCAAAGAGACCAAAGTCAAAGATCCACAAGAAGTACCTGAAGTTATCGACAAATTGTTTTACAAAGACCACGAGTACCAATTTACCTGTCTAAACTCATATTAAATAAATAGCAATAGATCTTGAAGTATCAGAATCCCTTGCTAAATACAGGAAGAATGAGCTTCACGCACAACAGGTATCCCGATTCATGAAACGTGTTTCAGTCCACGATAAAACAGAACATTACTTTCAAATAACTTTTTGCGTCCAAAGCCACAGGTAGCCCAAGTAATATTGTATCAGAAGCTAATTTTATACCAACGTTTCTGGAACACCAGAATTTAGCTCCTTCTCCTCCTCCTTTTCTTCTTCATCTTTGTTCTTTACAGTTTGAGATTTTTGCGGCTCACTATCTTGTACTGAACGCTGACCAGTAATGTCAGCCGTAGCCTCATCCTGTCCCCTAGCAACAGGGTCAGACGTGACTAATGACTTTGTTGGTGAGACAGAAAATTCTTGTGGGGTAAGCAGTGGCGTAGATTTCCCTACTGGAGCGAAACCTACCCTGCTTGACAAAAGTTTCTCTAAAAGATTTTCAGACTGAGGCTTAGTTGTTTGGGCATCGGGATTAATTAGTTCGCGAGTTAATTCACGAGTTTCCCCAAAGTCTAGTTCTTTTTCAACCTTAGTCGCCCAATCAACTGGAGTGCCATTGTCACTCGTTTCCTCATTCACCTCATCGTCTTCAATCTCGACGTCACTTGATTCTTCTGACGGCGCGCCCTCTGAGCTAAGATCACCGGATAAGACGTCATAGTCTTCCCTTGAGGCTAAGAGAAGCCCCTTCTTAGCTAACGTCTCTCCGATGGAGATGTCGAGAGGTTCACCATCTTCACTAGGAACGTGATCGTAAAGAATTACAGAAATAGGCGAACTGTATGCCTACGACAAAACAAAGCAAGTCAGAAAGTGAACGCCCTTAAGAAAACCTTAATCTGAGTTCCGTTGAAGACGCTTGACTTTTCAAAGAGCAAAAGCTACATAAGCGCGGAATGGGCGTAATGTTCTCCATTTCAAACCACGTGCACTCCCCAGAGCATCTTCAATAGACCTCCACCTTGGGCATGTTTGGCCCATTTCGTACCACGTGTCATTCCCTTGAGTATCATTTTTTTTAGCACGAGAAGACACATGAATAGACCCCTTGTATGTGACGTCAAAGCAGTTCGATCTGGGGGACAAAACAAAAAATTTCAATCTCCTGAGAATCGGAGCCTATTGTTTTGTCCCCCAGATTGAGCTGCGTTCCAAAGTGCTGCAAGGGGTCTACATGCTTACAACTCAAACAAAGAATCTTATTCTCAAGAGAATAGACCAGTTTCGAATTCCAAATTACCGCCGTGTTCCTTGATACCAGACTCATTTAATTATACAGGGTTAGCCTTGTATCAGTGTCTAAATAGTCACTAATATCAACGGTAAAGTAAAGAATGCACAACTTCAACGATACAAACACTTTGAAACTCGACGGACCTTGACTGGAACACGTGAATATCCTGCACAAACTCGAGGCTAACCCTGTGCAAATGAGTCTGCAATCAAGAAACACAGCGGTAATTTTGAAGTCGAAACGGGTCTATTACACGTGGTCTGAAATGGGAAAACATTACGCCTAGGTGGATTCGGTCCAACGCGAACAACTATATCAAAATATGCCACTGTCTAATTTTTTTATGTAACTTTGACCACATCCACCTACCACTATTTTAGCCGTCAATCGTTTCCCAGCAACCAGTTCGATCATTTGTTCCTTAGCTTCAGGATGCCACCCCGAGCCTTCTTTCGAGGAATCAGCGGTTTTCTTAGGAAGTGTGACGTCACCCAGACAACAGTGTGTTGCTTGGATGGGAAGGTCCAGTAACTCCGACGGAAAACCACGCATTCTGAGAAGTTCAAAAAGCACCAGCTAACGATTGCCTTCCATTATCTCTAGATACCATATTCTTACAGATACAGTATTTTTGTGTTGAGTATTAGTAATTAAACACAAAAATAAAGCTTAAGGTGGCTGACTACTTTTCAACATTCGATTTAGCCCACGATGTGCGCGCGCTCAAAAACCGCTGAATAATCTTCAAGATTTTATTGAAGAACCATACACGTTTCGATCTTCAAGAGGGCAAAACCCTCAAATTTTGCACGTGACTCGTAATTCAAAAGCTTAGAAAAATTTATTAAATCCTACTACTTCTTACCTGTCTCCTGTAAGTACCTCCGAGTTGCCATAGTCAAAGTAGCGCACCAAGGCCCTCAGGGGTTTGTCTGATTGTACAGCTAGTACTTGACCTCTGTACCACATGTCGTCTTCTGTATATCTTCCACAGCAAAGCAGTCCTACGAGAATGTAAGCAATAAATAAGTTTTTGTGTGGATGTGAAAAACTCGATATATATATGGATATTGAACCGATCGATGGTTGACTACTTCAATGATTGATGATTGACGTAATGCCGTTCAAGATGGATGGATGGATGGATGGATGGATGGATGGGTGGATGGATGGATGGATGAATGGATGGATGGATGGATGAATGAATGGATTATCCAACAGAAAGACAAAAAACACGAACACCAGTCCAACTTACCTTTCTTAGCATGAGCCAGAGGTTCATACTTCTTAAAATACTCCGGCTGATTAATACTAATCGCCATCTCCTCGAGTTTCTCCAGCTCTTCCTCTACATCCAGAAGGGTAGGATCGGTGTCATACACGTCTTCCAAGTCAAAATCAGGAGACCGCTGAATGAAAAAAGAACCCGGATGCTCAACGTGCGTGACGGTCACGTCAAATGGCATGCCTACTTCCGGTAGCTGTGTTTGGGGTAAAATATTATCTGCTTCTCTTGCACTGATCAGCATTGCTTGTAATCTGAAAAGCAACATACAGAAAAGATAATTATAGAAGATTATATATGTAGGTGGGAGGTTTGATTTGTAGCTTAAGTATATTAACATAGAAGAGACAATTTGTGGAAATGTTAATAAAGCCTTGATGATGATGGTGATGATGTTGATGATGATTTGGATGGTGATGATGATTTGGATGGTGATATTTATGATGGTGATGATAATGTTGATGGTAATGATGATGTTGATGATGATGTTGATGGTGGTGATGATGATGGTGGTGATGATGATGTTGATAATGATGTTGATGATGGTGATGATAATGATGTTGATGATAATGATGATGTTGATGGTGGTGATGATGATGGTGGTGATGATGATGATGATGTACTTCTGGAAACGCAGTCACGCAATCGATAAACGATAATGTCACACAACTCGAGAACAGAGAACTCGAAACTGGAGTATTAGAGAAAAAACGTCAGACGGAAAACAAAAATTATTTTTCATTGTATCTTACTTGTTTTCTACTCTAGAAACAGGCGGGTTCTTCTTTCCTCTAGATTTAGAACGAGTTGCTTTCGACATTCCAGCAGGGAAGGACTGGACATCAGGGGCGGGTCCAACCACACCGGATGTCGAGGTAACCAGGCCTTTTGCTATTAAGGCATCAGCAACATTCATACCGTCTGGGAAACATAGTCTCACTTCCATAGGCATTCCAGGTATCTTGGCGCCCTAGAAAAACCATTATCAATTTGAATTCAATATGATAGCTCTATCAGCTATTAAAATCATTACCGCCATTTGGATTGCTACGCGGCCACCCCAGACAAAAATCGCGACGTGCACTTTGCAATGGACTGCCGTCAATCAAACACGTTGACGTCATTTACACGCGTTTGGATCGGCCCAGTAGGCCCGGTGAGTGTGGCTCATAATACTTGTAATCAATCGACAAGTTTTGGTGCCTTTTGAATCACACACACGTGTAAGTGATGTCAACGAGTTTGATTGACGGCAGTCTATTGCATAGTGCACGTCGCGATTTTTGTCTGGGGAGGCCGCGTAGCAATGCAAATGGCGGTAACATCGTCAATGACGTCAAGCCGGGTGTAGTAGTTGTAGTGCACAAACCTATCAACACTTGGCCCCGCTGTACCAAGGGAGGATAGCGCTAACCGATGTATAAAACGTAATCCAGTGGATAAATTTTTTTGGATAACAGCATCGACTTATCCACTGAATAAGGATTTATCTGCCAGACAGCGTTATCCACCCTGTCCTCGTATCCTCTTTTTTGCTAGAAAAGACGTACCTCAATTATCGCTGAACAGTCTTTTCCAACAATCATTTCAGAGAGAAATGAAATGGCCTCACCAGACCAACGACCCTGGGAATTCGCCTGTAAAGAAATACATTAAACCGATGAGTTGATCTTGTCTTTTCCTTGAAACGGGCGTAATGCTTTTCCTTTCAGTTCTAATAGATCTCCTCGGCTTGGGCTTATGCTTTCCCATTTCAGACCACGTGTCCATATCTCGAGAATAGGTTTCTTTGTTTGATCTGTATCCACATTCATGTGTCTTCTCATGTGCAACCGGGCGCAAACCTTAAACAAAGAAATGATACTCAAGGGAATGACGTAGTCTGAAATGGGAAAACATTACGTCAGAACCGAAGAGGTCTATCGTCATGAACAATGGTGATAAGCACTGCTAATGCGATACAGGTTCAATTGATTAGTTTGACGATACGGCGGCCATCTTGGATCATCGCAATGCATCATGGGGCGTCCAGGAGGCAAATAAAGCTTTGTCACAGTAATGACGTCGATTGATAATAACAGCTCACCACAAGAGGATACAACAAAAGATGAAATGAGAAAATATTGTCGGATGTGCGTAGCATGATTTGTTGGTTCTCTCCTGTGCTTTGAGGGTTTTTCTCCCTCCGCAAAAACCAATTCCCAAATCATAATCAAATCTAGAAGGGCCTGACAGAGCAGAAAAACGGTTTTTGGTCTTTCGCCATAAGGACACCTTTACGTATTTAAGCTCAATATTTCGTAAACACGTTCTTTTGGAGCCAAATATCAAATGCGACCAAAATTTAATGAATGCGTATTTGAGATAAAAAGCCGTGTACTTTGGGAGAGGTTATATTTTGATCGGCAGAAAAACTGTCATTTTCGTGAATACTAAGTCAGGATTTACTCTAATTCGACAAAATTTCGTCACAAGTTTTGAGCAGCAGTGACACAAATGAAACGCTTAAAAAATTGGAGTATTAAAGTCAGTTAAATAAAAAAATCATGAAGGTAGCGGGCTTGTCGTTTTTCTGCCCTGTCGAAGGGCCTGGATAAAAATAATCCTGTGTAATTCTAGTAACCCTGTTTTATATTACGTCCAAACTCAAGAGGTCCATTGTTTTCTCCTTGACCCTAGGGCGTATCCAAGCTTTATCCAAGTATCATCATTACTAATAAATTAATAATATCTCACCGGTCGAACTCCGTAGAGAACAAGCTGTAGACACTGCTTTGGTACATCTATATCCAACACCTCCAGTCGAAGCTCAGACAACGGCACGATTTCTGAGTTTCCAAAATCAATGTAGTTCACCTATAAAATATATAAATAAATAAATAAGAAGGAAATTTTAAATACTGTGTTAAAAAGCTTGTGCAATAAACTTCTTTAGGTTGGACGAAATTTTTTCCCCATTTCAGACCAACCACGTGTCATTCCCTAGAGTATCGTTTCTTTGTTTAAAGGTTGTGTATTGAGAAGACACATGAATATTCAAGAGAATGACACGTGGTCAAAAAAACATTGGTCTGGAAACATAAAAGTGTTTCCACATGTATGAGAGGCTAGTCAGTCCAGAGCAATAGTTATTCAACTTAATCGCCATATTTCGATTCAATGTATACATGGTCTATAGAGTTTAAGAATATCACCATGGTAACGACTCTTACCTCTACTTTATTTGGTACAATCACCTTGGTAACCAAAGCCCTGTACCACATGCCATCATCACTAAACCGGGCACAGCAGGGCTGTCCGATAAAAAGATCCTTGATACTGGTCGGAGTGTCCGAGGGGTCTTGGTCGTGGCTGTTGTATCGGATGTTAAGTTTTTCCATCATGTTTATTAGTGTTCGATCATCTGGGGAACAAAGTAACAGCATTAATAGCCAATATGCACGAGCACGAGCACGAGCACGAGCACGAGCACGAGCACGAGCACGAGCACGAGCACGAGCACNACGAGCACGAGCACGAGCACGAGCACGAGCACGAGCACGAGCACGAGCACGAGGACTTCTTTAAAACCTGAACTTTGGAGCTGTGGGAATGCATGCAGAATATGTACATTCTTGTCAAGCTTGGATACAAATACCATACGAGATGTACTCAAGCTAAACAACAATGCACCAAAATCGCCATCTCAGAAACCGTGTCCGTGTCTATACTATGTTCCAGACATTTGATTGGATGAAGAGTAAATTTTCGCGCAACATGATTTGTCTGCTCTATTAGTGTTCCAGATTTGCTGTTGTTTGTCGTACCTTCTTTCAGCTCTTGTACAAAGATCGACCCATCCAATCCAACATATGTTACGCTAGCCTGGAACTGTCTATCAACTGGAGGTATGGCTGGAGGGTACTGTGCTAGTAACCTTTCAGGGGGAGACATGGGTGGTTTATTTGTCGATGGGATTGTTTTTTCTTTGCCTTGATTCTCCATGATAACTGCCATTTCTTCTTGGGGATGTGTTTCAATCCCTTCGTTTCGATGTTCGTCTGTTTTTTCAATACTTTCTGTGGTTTTGATGTCAAGTTTATCCTCAGCTATTAAAGGCAGGAACGAAGAGACTGATGAATATGGGAAATGGAAAAGGATGGGATGGTAGAAATGATGGAATAGATAAATGGGTGGACGGACAGACGGACGGAACATTTATTTCTTAATCACTTCGTAAGTACAAAAGAGTCACTGATCATCCACCAACAATCTAACCTTGTGTCTCTTCCACGGCAGACTGTTTCTCCTCTTTTTCTACAGTAACTTTTCCTTCTTCATTTGCAGAATTTTTTTCTTCTTCTGAAGGCTTCTTTGCCTCTTCATCTTCCTCGAAGCTTTTAACGACACTAAGGACGAGCAGTAATTTAGTAAGATAAAAATCACTTAAGCGCAAAGCAAACGGAGTGACACTCTAAAAGTTTTCAACATTCGTGAAAAAATAGAGGTTTTGCACCATCACGTGTCCAAGCCTATAACACAGCTTGAATTGCTTTGAATTTGATTGAAATTCTTTTGTTTTGTCCTCCAAATAAGCCTTTTCATAGTTTAAGAATCGATTCCACTGCGCATGTGATTTTATCCCGAATTTCTCACCTTCTTTTGTTTAATTAAGAACAAAAGAAGGTTTAGACAAAGGAAGGTGAGAAATTCGGGATAAAATCGCATGCGTAGTGGAATCGATTCTTAAACTATGAAAAGGCTTATTGAGCTGCGTTGACGTCACATGCAAGGGGTCTACTGTTCCTGCCATCTAACATGGCTGCCGTCACGTAATGATGAAAAATCTCTATTTTGCCAAATGTCTCTACCTACCCCAACCCTGAAGGTACAGCACGGTGACATTGGACTAGTAAGTCATTCACAGACACGTCCTTTTGCGATGTAGCATCACGAAGAACAATGGAAGCTTTGCCACCGGAAGTCCCTGGAAAGTAGAGCAAAAATAACCAGATTAAATAGACCTCACATGTTTGGGCGTTATATAGTGTTTTCAATGGAAGATGATAGACCTAATCGCCTAATCGGCGCATGAGAAGACACATGAATACGGATACAACTCAAACAAAGAGACCTATTCTCGAGGGATGGACACGTGGTCTGAAATGGGCAAAACATTGCCGCCAAATGGATTAGATCCATTCGTTCGCCTACTCTAGAGAGGTGTGTTGGTGTTGGAGACCTAGTCCATAACGAGGACGTATTTCCTACCTATAATATTGGCATCAAACTGCTTGTTTAGCAATAACCCACATACAAAGTCTTGAACCTAGAACAAAAAATAATAAATATGATAACATGAATGTTATACAGATTGATATCATCATGAGTGCATGACTGACCTGTTCATTCCAATCTTCACTTTCTTCACATGGTTTGACATCAGCCAAACAGGCTGGATAAGCCTGTAAACACGAGAATATTCCACAAATGTTAGATCTGTAATCATACTTGACTACAGATAGACCCAATTACATTCATTTGCAAAATCATAAGATACAAATAGTTAGAAAATGAGACCGAAATGCTACATGGGAAGTATGTTAGATAGTGACACAACTCGTGGAATATTTACCGTTTTCCATACATTGGTTCACTGGTCAAACACAAAGCGCTCAAGCAGTCGCCAAGGTACTTTGAAAGGATTATTCAAATTTGAACCTTGCAACCTCGACTGAATGCTTTGTGTTTGACCAGTGAACCGATGTATGGCAAATGGTGAATATAATACATTGTTGTAGTTATAAAAAGCACGGAGAGTTTTAACACACGTTTCATATCGACTGTGTATCTTCAATGAATACATCAGAGAATGATTGTCATTTCCCAGCATACCTTTCGGTCTCGGCTTCTATGTTCTATGTTTTAAGCCCCACAAAGATTTTGCAATTGAGGCTGCGTTAACACGATACCAAACGAGTTTTTGACCGATCAAAAATTTGACCTGTTCATGTACTGTTTGCATGGAACCGTCTCTTTGATTGTATTTGATTAATTGATTGAAGACATGATTTAATGAGGGTGACACGTGACAGTAATTTTGGTAACTGATTAACTTGTGGCCCTCGAGTTTTTTTAGCACGGGCACTGAAGATGGTCGTCACCAGCGTCTTCGGTGGATCTTTTACGTCCGCCTTATACAGGGCTATATAGTGAAGACAGACGGGGCCTACAGGTCTAAGTCCTTGTCCGAGAAGACCTAACCATTTGTAGATGTAGTACAAAATGCAGCACCTTCTCCTCAGTTATTTTAAGGCCCTGAGTGTTGGTCCGAGGCTTGAACCACGACCTTCCGCACAACAGCCTGACGCTCTTACCGACTGAGCTAACCGGGTGGCGGTATACAAAATATGTTCTCTTTACATGGAAAATATCTCCAATTTGCACGGCTATGCATACCAATTTTTGTTCTGATAGCTCAGTCTCGTGTGAACGGAACACCTAAACGTGCAACTTTTTGACCGGTGAAAAATTCGTACGATGCCGTGTAAACGCAGCCTGAGTGTATGGATAAATTAATTTTAGTAACCTGTCTTGGTAGTCCCAACAGTGAGTCTGGTAGCTTTCTAATCTCACTGAAGGGCAGCGTCTCAGCATTACCATAGTCAACATACGTCACGTCTACTGTCTCGTCACTATTCACACCTGATAAAGAAATAAGCATTAGTTCGAAAAGGTTCTTCTTTACTTATATTATGCGGCCTGTAACGCCCAGGCAACAGGCAATTACCAGCTAGGGACGGACCATCAAATAATTGGTGGGGGTGGGAGGTGGGGGGTTGCAGGAATTTATGTTACACGATATATTTTTTTTTAAATGAATTTATTGAAATCTTTGAAGAATCCCCATACAATTCCTTATAACATGACACCACAGAAACCAAGCTTGGGCTACCTGTGCCCATACGCGCATTTTTTGTTTGTTTGTTTGTTTGCTCGATATTTCTTCTCTGGAAGGAGAAGTTGCGGAATATTTTTTTCGTAGGTGAAGTGCTTGCTCGATATTTGTTGGAAACCTCCTTGCATCATTTTATCGGGTTTTATGAGCAGTTGAACCCGGAAATACAACTTAAAAGCTCTATTCTCAACTCACATGTTGGATTTTGTGAAGAGAGGATAATCGGAAGTTTATCATTGCAGATGCTATTCTTACCGACAACTAATGCTCTATACCAGGATTTATCTTCCGTGAATCGAGCGCTACAGACAAGACCTGATATAAATAAAAAAAGTAAATAAGTTTAAAGTGACAAGCGGGAAATATGAGGTATAGAGGTTTTGCACCATCACGTGCCCACCCATGTAATCCAGCTTGGACTGCCTGTGGTTAGATGGCAGAACAATAAAATCACTTTGCTCTTGGGAATTGAATCATTTCTCAAGTAAAACGATTGTATTGTTCCTGCCATCCAACATGGCTGGCGTCACGTGATGGTGCAAAACCTCTATTGACTTATTACAAAAGCAATAACATAGCCCAGCTTTAAGGTTCTGAAGGAGATTACCGATCCATTTTCTTAATCTTAGTCGTAAGGTAGCATTTTTTAACTTTTCTAATCTGTGGTCGAATGAGCGTAGCACTAAATTGCTAGTGGTCAACAGACTTATAATCCTCGTTCCATGATTGAATACGAATTAGAAGTGGATTTTTGACAAAGGAGAAAACCTGGACAAAATCCCTCAAAAAGGAGTATGAAGAAATCGAGAGAAGAGAGAGAGAAAAAAGGAAAAAATGTAAGTAACAAGATAAAAACAATCCTTTTTCAAAATCGAACTTGAAGTAGAAACAATCAGAATAACAAACAGACGCGTACGAACAGACACGTGTCAGAAGAGAGCATTAGGTATGTTACCTTTGTAAGGCCAGAGTATATCCAAATCTTTTCTTTTTGTTCGTTCGTTGTACAGCCTCTCCATTTCTTGCATTGTAAAGAGTAGTTGAGATACCTCGTCCTCATCGAGCTGAACAACAGCAATAAAAAATATCGAATGTAAATGCAACAGCTGGAACAGACACAGCGGCGGATCCAGGAATTTTAGAAGAGGGGTGACTATTACATAGGTTTTACATGGAATCCAAGGAAAAGGGGGGTGACTGTTACTAATGATATACTGAGAAATTTGAGCAAAAGGGAGGGGGGGACTGGTCACCCCTTTTACCACGCCCTGGATCCGCCCCTGTGTCATTATGCCAGCACAGCATGTCTGAAAATCAGCTTGCTGAGCCGTCTACCGTGGATAAATAAAGTTAATTGAATTGATTGATTTAATGATCCAAGGTGTTAAAAAAAGATTTCTATCATTGCAAGCTAACCATTCGTCTCGCTTCGATACAAAGGTACTGCTATCTTTCAAGCATATGATAGCGCAGGGAACTGTGAAGGGGACTATAGAGCGTTTTCACTCACGTGAGAAGGCAGCCATAAACAATAGAAACTTTCTGCATAGTATTTGCATAAAAATAGAGTTCAATTCCCGGAGGATAGAAAATGTATTGTTTTGGTACCCCATAATGGCCGCTGTGACGTCAAGTGAAAACGCTCTATTGATCGATTCTTAGATTGCACGTTACGTCATCGCGGCCATGTTGGTGCCATTTAACAAAAGATTTCTCATTAGCATCCATTGTTAACGGTACCACAATGGCCGCCATGTTTTTGTCTTTTAACTCTCTTGGGAATGCTTACAACCCATCTATAGGTACATTACCTTTTGTAGATAGATCTCATCGGGTCCTGTAACATGGGATATTAATACAGGTACTGTCTGCCCTTCTTCTAGTGCTGATGGATCCTTGAAGGAACGCATAGGAAAGGATTGCTGCATGACTGCAAAGGTAAGTCATCAGTTAGAATTTCATCTTCAGTAACATTGCTCACAGAAAGCTCTTTGACATTTGTTTGCCCAATCAGTGTTCGAATACCACGTATTAGCCATTCCAAGGTTGAGGGGAAATTGGGTCGAGTTGGCATTGCATTGCATTGTGGGATTGTTTTAGGGGACGGAATAGACGCCATCTTGGAAATACGTCTCCTAAAATAGCCTCAAAATGCACTGATGCTTACTCGACTCATGGCTAATGGGAAGAATATCATATGTAAGTACAGTTGCTTGTTGGTTATCTCCTGTGCTTTGAAGGATTTTTCTCCGGCTTCTCCGGTTTTCCTCCTTCCACAAAAACCAAATTCTAAATTCTAATCGAAAGAGGATCGAATCTACAAAACCATTTTTGACAAGATTCCAAGCAATTTACCTTGCACACTGGGTTCCGAGGCGGGGCTCTTGAACTTCGCTACCTCGAGGAACACGAGGGCGTCCCGTACTGATGCGGGTCGGTCATCGTCATGTGTGGGTTCATCATCATCAGGTGACTTTAGATCAACATGTAATGTTCCGTTAAGACCTCGGCGCAAAGCCTATAGATAGCATGGACAAATGGTCAGACGAACAGGTAGTCATAACATACTGAATAACCGACACCTTACCGATAAATTACCGAAAGCTGACGAAAAGTTAACGAAGCCTAGCCGACTGATAACCGACAATCTGTCAGTGCCTTACACTAGTGGACAAAGTCGGGTCCTTCTTGGTTAGGGTTTTTGTATTGCAGGGTATTGTTTAGCTCTAAACCAAGAGAAAATATACTAAGAGAAGGAATCCCCGTGCCCCATCATGTGCACACTTTGATGCTATTTTTAGAATCATTGATGCTATTTTTAACTCGTTACCATGCCCGCGCGATAATCATTCTTCCCTTTAATGCCTCGTTTTAGGACATGAAAAGCGCCATATTTCGCTACGTCCACGACAAAAACACAGGCTTTGTTTACTGCAAGACTGGAATCCGCCTACCATCAAGAAATCAACCAATCAGGTTCTTCGCTCAAAATATCTCCAAGCTAAAAATAGCATCAAACTGTGCACATGATGGTTACAAGGCTATATAGGTAGGATTCCTTCTCTTAGTTCATATTCTCTTGTCTAAACGCATTGTTCTCGGCTATAGTTTTATTGTCTTCATGGCTCAGGTGCCCTGCAACAACAAGAAAAGGAGCCACGAAGTCAGCTAGGATTTTTGAGCGTGTCAGTACTTACTGTCATCAGTAATGGCTTGTCTCCTGTTAAACTTCCAAAGGCTTTGATAGCTTTTGGTGGCCATTGGTTTTGCTGAAAAAAATCATATTCAAAAGAAATCTTGATTGAGAAAAGATTAAATGTCGCAGGCTTAGTTCAGGGGCGTAACCAATCATCTTGCAGGGGAGGTACACAGGCAATGATTTCAGTGCAGAATGCAGAACCAAAAAGAAAAAGAAAAAGAAGAAAAAAAGAAAAAAAGAAAGAAAAAAAAAAGAAAGAAAGAAAAGAAAAGAAAAAGGGAATAATGGGTGAGTAGTGATTCTTAAAAATGCTACAATATGCAGATGGAAAGTGGTCTTCATTTAATCAAGAACCATTTACACACAATTTCAAAGCAAAAGGAGATAGATGAGCGGACCTTAAGCTTTTATGGGGGTGCACGTGCACCCTGCGCTCCCCCTGCTTACGCCCCTTTAGTTGCACCAAAATGGACAGCAAACGGCAAGAGAATAAAGTTTAGGAATGTGCCAGAGGGTTGCCAGTTAAACTACCACCGTATTCACCATATTTCCAACATACAAACTCGAATTTTTAACAAATGTAAATTTTCTCGCTTTTTGATTGGTCGAGGGTTGTGCTAAATAGGAGGACATACCACGAAAAACCCATCGGAAAGTTGTCAACTTTGGCCCACTTTCGTTCACACGAACTACCATTACATTCACGATCTACACTCAACTATACTCTCATGGGATGATGAAGTTATGAAAACCGGCAAAAACCTTGTGACGGGAGGAAGGGAGAGAAACAACTTGCACATTTCCATCGCGCACAGTGCTGTTTGAGATCTTACCTGGAAGGGTGGTACTACGTCTACAAGTGAACAACACACAGCCATGTCTGGGACCTGAAGGAACTTCTTGGGCATGGTACGTAGCCTGCAGAAAATGATCATTTATATGCGGTAAAAACTTTACAAGGTTTACAACAGCCCAGAGGTTGTTTCAGGGTTTGACCTGTGAGTTAGCCATGCCCTGATRTAGATCAGCCCAGAGGTTGGTTCGGGGTTCAGTAAAATTGATGTTAGGTTTTGGTTTTACCTTATCATGGGGATCCATTCTAAGTTGCCATAGTCAATATACATGACTTGTATGGTGAGACCATTCTCAACAGTGGGTAACACGTTATGATGGGAAGGAGCGTTCATGGACATCACACGCGCACGGTACCAATGGTTATCAACGGTGAACTGAGCACACACCATGTCACCTGAGAATATAGTAGTTTGAGTGATCGTGAAACTGAGTTAAATGCTTGGAAGGGAGAAGAAATGAAAAGAAGAGAAGAGAGAAGGGAGGAAAGAATAGGGAAGTAAAAGTGGAGGATAGGAAGCGAGAGGCATGCGAAAGAAAAATGGGAAAGAATAGAAACAAGTGAGAAAAGAAAAAAAAAAAGAGGAAGAGTTGAAAAGGAAAGAAAGGGTCAAGGACAAAAAATAAAATCGAAAAAACAAAAACAAAACAAAACAAAACGAAACAAAACGAAACAAAACAAAGAAAAAAATATCAAAACAAAACAAAACAAAACAAAACAAAACAATTGCATGACGTGCGCGCGCACAAAAACTGCTGAATAATTAGATTGAGAACCAAATGGATACATGTTTTGATCTTCAAGAGGACAAACTTTGCGGGGTACTCTATACTATTGAAAATGAGCTTNGAAACAAAAGAAAGCAAAGCAAAGCAAAACAAAACAAAACAAAACAAAACGAAACGAAACAAAACAAAAGAAAAGAAGAGTAAGGAACCAGGATTAACAGGGCTTAAAATAACAACTAGTCAGTTACTGGTCATAATCACCAGACATAAAACTAGTTTTAGCTCGGTTACACCTCGTTTCTGGCTCAACGTTACTGCTCAAAATGACCAGCAAGGCAAATATTGGACCTAACAAGTTCCAATTCTGGCTGGACATTGTACGATGACCAACCGTTATTTCAAGCCCTGGGTGGAAACTCACCAATATTAGCCTCTAACACCAAATCACTAGCATCAGAAGCTTCACAATACTTGTTGATAGCATTCATCATGACGTTAAGCTGTTCCATGTCTGCCAGTCTCTGGACCATGAAATATGATGGATCCCTTATGTGCGTCACTTGGGCCAACTCATGTCGATCTGAATAAAAATAAATAATAATAAAACGTTGAATTGCCGAGGTCCAAGTCACGTGCATGGATCAAAGACCTCTTGCTTAACAGGCAGCACACTAACCAACCAAGCCACACTTGCTCCTTAAAACAAGTGTGTGAGGTCACTAAGGATCAAACTATGGACCTCTTGCTTAGCAGGCAGCACACTAACCAACCAAGCCACACTTGCTCCTTAAAACAAGTGTGTGATGTCACTGAGGATCAAACTATGGACCTCTTGCTTAGCAGGCAGCACACTAACCAACCAAGCCACACTTGCTCCTTAAAACAAGTGTGTGAGGTCACTGAGGATCAAACTATGGACCTCTTGTTTAGCAGGCAGCACACTAACCAACCAAGCCACACTTGCTCCTTAAAACAAGTGTTTGAGGTCACTGAGGATCAAACTATGGACCTCTTGTTTAGCAGGCAGCACACTAACCAACCAAGCCACACTTGCTCCTTAAAACAAGTGTGTGAGGTAACTGAGGATCAAACTATGGACCTCTTGCTTAGCCGGCAGCACACTTGCTCCGCAGAAGAATTGAGGTAATTCAAACTATGGCCCTCCTGTTCCATCCACCTCCACAAAACAAGTGTGTAAGGTAACCGATGATCAAACGACATCATACTCACATGGTATATTGAGCAGTTTCCTAGCAGCTAGAGATCGTCTAACATCATTATTATTATCTATATCATCCAGTACACTGCTGTCTTCACTCATTACACTCTCTGTTTCCTCTTCATCTGACTGTTGATTCAGCTCCTCTTCACTAACCTCGGATAGCTTCTTCAGCTCAAGCCTAAACCCAATTCCAAAATTAAATCCAGTTAATTAATTGACCAGCACAATAAAAAAAGTTTGGGTTTTTTGTCAATCAAATTTCCAACAACCTGTTAAGTTTTATTTTCCACTGGCTGAGGAACGAAATAAGTGGAAAATGTTTTCTCACACCACTGGATCCTGGGCCGAAGGATATTAGTCACGTGGTCAGTGTTTTCATCAGCTCCTTTTTTGCTGTCCGCCATGGCTGTTAGTTAGCCCCACAGTACCCCCCCAACCCTAGGCCAGCAATCCTGGAAGGACTTTAGAGTAGTTTTTCATGGAAACCACGTTGCGATGATAAGAATGATGTATTACAGTAATGCATATGTTGAGTTATTCAGAAATAAAGAAGTCAGTTGGCGGCGGTCAGCTGAACAATAGCTCCTAGTGGTGTGCGAGAAGATCTTTTTGATTCACCTTTTCGGCGCTAGCTTGGATTGTGTTACGGTCACCAAAAAGTTCGGACATTGTTCTCGGATTCCCATTTAAATATCACTGACTTTAAAGAGAAAATTTAAGGTAGATTTCTTTAGTTAGCTCTCTTAACAGCAGTAAGAAAAGCTTCAATCAAGCTAGAAAAATGATCTTTACTTGTATTTAGAGAACTAACTAAACATTAACCAAGTAAATAGTTCATTTGGAGTAAATTTGTACGGAAATTCGAGGCAATGTCCAAATCTTTTGGTGATTGTAACACAATCTAAAACAATTTATACCCCCTTGACGGCTAGCGCCGAAAAGGTGAATTATTGATGTAAGCCAAAACCCAGAAGTCTTAAACTTGGTACATGGAATTTGTGATGATTGCATAAACTCACCCAATAGATTCTGCCTGTTTTATTTCACCATGCACTCGAATCGAGTCCAGATAATCATCGTTGTATGAAAATCTGTAATGGACAATAGTAGTCAAGTATGAAAACTTGTCAATACAATATTAGGGGGCAATAAATGGAATTTTAGACCCCTTTTTTATTAATTATGTGTACTATTAAGTCGAAAGTAGCCGGCAGTTTAGGCAGAAGTATCCAGTGATAAATCGCCGGTTGCTGCCTTCTATTGAAAGCTCTGAAAAGCTTACTGACGTTTCGGACGCTAGCCCTTCGTCGGAGTAAAAGAGCAAAAGTTATAAGTTATTAATAATAACAATTGATGGGTTGCAAGCATTCCCAAGAGAGTTAAAAGACAAAAGCATGGCGGCCATTGTGGTGCCATTAAAAATGGATACTAATAAGAAACGTTGTGTTAAATGGCAACAACATGGCCGTGATGACGTAACATGCAATGGAAGAATGACAGATACCACATTTCTTAAAAATTAATTTATACCTAGATTCATCTCCATCAGGATTGGTAGTCTTCACAGCAAAACATGGTTTTTCTCTCAGCTTTTCTAGTTCTGTCATGAACTATAAAAAAAAGGCAAACAATATTGGTTTGGTCATAAGACAGAAGAAATCTGGGTCCTTCCCTAACAGCAAGGTTATTATCATAACGGTAAAAGGCTAGCGGCGAGGCTTACCCCTTTGGCTCGGTTTATTAACTTGCTGGGTTCTTCCAAAGTCATTTCTAACTCTGAAAAACAAAGAATAAAGCTATGAAATAGTACTACGATCATTGCCAAAATACTTGGCACGATGGCACATTTTGGCTAACACTGAAAATGGCCTTCCTCTGTCGCCCCCCCCCTTTTACGATGTTGCCGTTCCCTGAAAGAAAGTTGGTACCTCTGATCAGACTCACCAACCCTCTGCCAACTTGCAGGAATCCCAACATTGTACGGGGGGAGGGGGGTTTAGTCCTAGGTAGTGTTTTGCGAAGTACCCTCTAAAATACTAAAATATGTCAAGCATGCCAACTAATTATGGCAATGATTGTAGGTTTTAAAGGGATGATGGTATAAATAGAATACGTAAACAAGGAAGGGCAAGGGACAACCCACACACACCTAGAAACAAAAGAATAACAGATTAAAATAGTACTAGTTATTAATTAAAAGTGATGATAGTTGATTAACTAGAAGATGAAAACTATTATATTCTAGCAGAATTCATGGTCAAAAATGGTGAACAATTTTTTTAGCTTTAATGATATTTCCATGTGAAACATAAAAAATTCCCCATAAAACGACCCCCCCCCCCCTAAACAATGTTGTTTCAAGGGATACAGGGCTGCTTTACCTACTGGGACCAACATTGTCCTGGGGGAGAGGGGGTACGGACAATATTTTTTTAAAGAAGGGAAATTCTACTATTTCATGATTGGGTGAAAAATTCTCAACTCTTTTTTGTCCAAGATTGAGGGTGGGACAAGGATATAAGGAAACTAGAAAAAAATCCCAACAGAAGTGTGGGAAATAGGTAGGAAATGAGAAATATGGGGGAGGAGATGGGGTGNGGGGGGGAGGAGAAGGAGGGAGGGTAGGGGGGGATGTAGCAGCTTGTGTATTCATAAATAATTAGCTATTTTTCTTACCCATAATAAGGTTTCTCGTTTTCTTGATGTCTTCAGTAACAGACTGCCAAAAAATAATTAAAAGATAAAATCATATTAAATGTCAACATATTAGACAAGGGACAATTTGATGATGTTGCTATTAGCCATTCTAAGGTTGGGGGAAAGACAAGGTGGAGCCTGAATCACAGTGCTTTGAGGGACTTTTTTAGGGGATGATGTACAATCTTGGACAAAAAAAGTTGAGAAAACTTCATTTCATCATTAAATTGCACAATTTTCCTTAAAAAATTGCTTTGGTTCATCGTACCCCCTCCCCCCTAGGACAATGTTGGTCCCATCAGGTAGAGCAGTACTCTCTCCCATGGAAACAACATTGTTTGGGAAGAGGGGAGAGGGGGTCGTTTTAAGGAGAATTTTTCATGTTTTTCAGATAAAAAATGTCCTTAACATTTTTGTCCAAGATTGTAGACACCATCTTTGGAAATATGACCCTTAAGAAAGTCCCACAATGCACTGCAATGCCACCTCGAAAAAATCTTTTCCTCAACCTTGGAATGAACAATTATAGTTATTATAACACATTATGATTACGTCTTCCGTCCTATTCATTCATTCCTTCACTCATACATGTACATCTGTACCATGTTTTAGACCCTTTGCATTGATTTCCTAGAGGAATAGACCTATCCTGAATTCGCTTGACTGACCACGAAACAATGGTTTGAAGTCGAGATTGAACTTAATTCTTTTATTCATCAAGTTCAACCTCAACTTGAAACCATTGTTTCATGATCAGTCAAGCGAATTTAGGATAGGTCTATTGTCCAGGGGGTCAAAACAATAGGCCGTCTTTTCTTACTCAGTGCAAGGGATCTATTGGCCTTACCAATTCTAATGATTCACCAGCGCTTTGCGAAGACTCTACTTCTTTTACCAGGACATTTTCCCTACACAACACAATAATCATATGTTAAAATACTACATGTTTGTATATTTCACATTTCATTATATTATTTGCTTCACCATCGCAAAGTCCTTGAGGCAGTTGGAATCCAGTAGCTCAATTATTAGTCAGGGGTGTAGTCAGGGGTGTAGTCAATGGTGTAGTCAATGGTGTAAGCAGGGGTGTAGTCAATGGTGTAGTCAATGGTGTAGGCAGGGGTGTAGTCAATGGTGTAGTCAGGGGTGTAGTCAATGGTGTTGTCAGGGGTGTAGTCAGGGGTGTAGGCAGGGGCGTAGCCAGGGGTATAGTCAGGGGTGTACTCAGGGGTATGACTAGGGGGGCAAGGGGGCCTGGCCAAGGCAAAATCCTGACTATGCCCCTACTAGTCACCCTTCCTTTTTTGTACAAACAAATGATAATGTATAAACCTGCTTACATTTATTTTACTTTCTAGCATTAAGAATCAAGATGAGAAAATGAATAGAGAGTTATCATGATTGAAGAACTAGTAGTATAGCGCTAGTTGGTGTTACAAGCATCAGCATCATGATATTAATTTCCCAACCATTATCACCATCTCTGGTTGGCATGACAATAGCTTGCATCACAGCAACTAGCACTATAATAATATTATAATAATATATTATATAATAAATATTAATATTATAGTATACCTGACTTGTAGGTTGGCACTCAAAAACTGGAAGTGTTCCCTGATTTCATTGATCAGTTGCATCTTGTCTGATTTACTGTGAGCTAAAGCATCGTTTATTTTCTACAAGAAGATAAGATAATATTAATCAGATGCCTAATAGTCACCGCAGCATGGCTTCAAATAATTACTGGTCATCAGATGATGTCCAGCCAGAATTGGAACTTGTCTAGTCATCTTTTTGCTTGTTTGCCGGTCAGTTTGACCTGTAACATTGAGCCAGAAAATACAAGGTATGAGAGAGCTAAAACAAGCTTGTAATAATGAATGCCAACGGACTGGGTGTTATTTTAAGCCCAGCTGCAGGAAGCGAAGCAAGTATCTATCATATTTCACTGATATCCGATAGATTCACCTACTCATAGTCTCACCTACTGAAGTTCGCCGACTCTCAACATTGTATATTTACTCTCACCCTTCATAGATCTATGTTATCTTAAGCCCTGTCGCAAGGAGTGAAGCAAGTACATGGATCTATTGTATTTTACTGATATGCGATAGATTCACCTACTTGTAGTCTCACCTACTTAAGTTTGCTTACTCTCAATACTGTGAATTTACTCTCACCCTTCATAGATAAGGTTTTACGCGTATTTGATATGTAGGCAAACTTCAGTGGGCAAACTTCAGCAGGCACAACTATGCTTAGGCGAAACTATGTGTATTTGGAACTATCGTAATTTATTTAACTTTATTATATACCTTTCATTACCTATAAGTAATTGTCTGATAAGACAATGTTGCTTTGATCGTGTTAATACTTTTTACCTTCTGTGAGTGTTCTAAATGCATTAATATTGATTTCCCATCGTTTAAGCTTTGCTGCAGCTGCTCTTTGATTTCATTAGTCTGTTAACAAACAAGCAAATAAACAGATTAAAATTATCAATATAATTATTTAAATTTGATATTAAGGCTGTTCATACGTTATGTGATCTATGGGTACTATGCCATGTGTCTGTCTGTCCCCCACCACTACACAATGTGCACAGACAGGCTGGT